TTTCACAACCCTCAGAGAAGCATTAGTTCATGCAGCATCCTATTCAATACGACATGTCAGGATAACACAAGTAATATGAATACTTCTTCTGCCGAAAACAACGTCTTCACGTCTACATTTGCCGCCCCCACAACTAGTTCTCTCTTGCAATCACCTCCACCTTGCTTCGCTACTTTGACACCCGTATCGCTATCATCAGCTTCCAGTCATTTGTTATCACATTTCACTAATCAAGCAATCTTATGCAACGAAAAAATTTCTGCTGAAGCATCTTCAATCACTTCTCCATCATTATTCTCATCATCAGCACCGATGATCTCTTCATCGTCTTCATTGAATACTCTTTGCGATAACAAGTCCAGAGCCAGACTTGCCTCTGTTAAACCTCTCAATTCAAATGATTTGTCAGCTATAATTGACATGTTCAAAAATGTTGAAGACACAAACATTCTTTCATCAAGTTCCTTACTAGAGAAAGTTGTACCAACATCATCTGCCTTATCATCATCTTTCTCGTTGTCGTCAGCATCATGCAATAGAACACCACCACTCTCGCCAGCATCTGTTTTAAGGGCACCATCGGTACTAAATATTTTCCAGTCATCTCGTGACAGCGAATCTGATTGCATGTCTTCTGTTGCCACTTTTTCAAATACGCTCGTTAACAGTAACAATTCTAACCATGATCCAATCACTGGCAGAATAATGCAGTTTGACGGGGCCAACGATGATGGTGATGATGATGATGAGGAAAGTGAGAGACAAGAAGAGAAGCAAGAAGAAGCAACTGCTGTGGATGGTGTGTCGGTTGGTTGATACAACACTTGTTATGTTGTCTCTTGTTATGCTTACCACATTCATGACGTTCAATGAGTTCGTTTTATAAATATTGTAAATAAAAAATACGCAGTTCACCTCAAAATCAAGACATTCAAAGAGAACAATTAAGGAGAGGAAACAGATGGTGGATTCGAGAGTGCAGAACGATAGTGGTCCCTTGCCAAGAGGGTGAAAACTTCAACTTATATTTTTTTTCTTATTTATAATAATTTATATCCCATTTAACGTTCTTTATACAATTTTTTTCTTTAGAACTTATAAAACAGTCCGGGTAATCCCAAGACCTTGGAAAACCCCAGAAGGAACTGTTAACAGATCGTCGTTGGCAAGTATGTTGGAAGCTGTTTGCTTGTACATAGCTGAACGACCTGGTGTGTCAACTCACGCACTGACTAACAAATACCATCCGGTGTTGCAACCTGTGGCTGTATTGGAATTACTGGAGGTAGATTACGTGACTTACAAAATGCATTTCTTTATGTTTCTATCATTTTGACATCACAATTTTTCAAATGAGAAGATTTTTTCAAAATGAGCTAAGTAGGATTGTTTTCTTTAATTCTACTGAAGAAAAAGTGCGTACACATTCAAATCTCTTTTCATCGTCGATTGACTAAGCATTATATTCTTTTCAGATGCTCGATATCTTGGGTGTCACCACCAAAAGCTATTTGAAACCAATCAATAAACCTTCGCTTTTTTCAAGAAGAAAAGTTAATGACTTAGGTTCGTTTAGAATAACTTTTGTGTCATGATTTTTTAGTTTTATCGTAGTTTAATATTCTACCATAATTATGTCAATGTAATTTCACAACCGTTCAAAGGTCCACTAAGTAATAACCCGGAGCTGGAGATGAATTTTGTGACTGCAGATTTTATGATAAAAATGGGACAGTTTTTCAACCAGCTGCATGCTAACAAAAGAACTGATGATGATGATGATTGAATAATTCATGTTTAATAAATATTCGTTGTTTAGAGTTTAAAATATTAATTTTATAACGCTGTGTTGATTTCGATTAATTTCTTAAACTCTCTAATGGCTTGGAATGAGCAGTAGCCAAGAAAGGGTTGCCGATGGGTAGGGAATACTTGGCATGACAAATTTTTCCGTCATTTATTCACTACTTTAATAATTGTGATTGTTATAAATAGTTGAAAACCTTTACAAGAGTTGCCCGTGCCATTTATTTCGGTAGTGAATCACTCGTCTATCTTTGGGGAAGCAAAACTTTCATTCTTTTGTGAAACATTGCTTACGTTTTACTTTCGGTTAAAGTTTATATTTTGAAATGGTTGTGGACTTAGTTTGACAGAGAAGTAGAAATATTCCTAAGTTCATTAATTCATTCATTGGCGTTGTTGGATTTTGTGAAACGATTGCATCGAAACTACGGTTGATTGATTGTTATTGCATAAGTGAAATATTGAATGATCGTATTATGATGCATTTTTGATAAAGTTGATAACGTTAATACAATTAGACGCCTAAAATGAAGAAATCAATTGTATATTTCAAATTTCCACGCCAAATAATTGTTGCATGATCTAGTCATATTCCCTCTTAAAAAGCATCGTTGAGCATATACGTGAAAGGATTCACTCTATGAAAAAAAAGATAAACTTTATTATCTGATTAAAGTTCTATCAACAAATCTATCAAAAATAACTGGCGTAAAGAAAATTTTTTATCTTTGCTTA